TGGCGTGCCCTGGTCAATGGGGTCACGAAGAGTCAGACACGACTAAACGACAACAAACTTAAATTTGGCTTCCTGTAACTTGAGTCCATTGTTGCATGTCCTGTATTCCAGGATGATTGAGAACAGATCCTGCCCCTCCTTCGTATGACAGCTTTTAAAGTCTTTGATATCTTTGCTATCATATCACCCCTCTGCCTCCTTTTTTCAAGGCTGAACATGGTCAATTATTTCAAACTTTCCTCATAAGGCTTATTTTCTAGTCCCGGTCATCCTCGTTGCCCTCCTCTGAACTTGTTGCAATTTGTCAGCATCCTTCTTGAAGTGTGGTGTCCAAAACTAGGCCCAATACTCAAGTTGAGGCTTAACGAGTGCCAAATTGAGCGGAACTAGACCCTCACAGGATTTGGAAACTGTACTTCTGTTAATGGCAGCCTAAAACAGCATTTTCCTGCTGGGAGCCACGCCGCCCCGGGTGATCCTGGCCATCCAGGAGTCCGAGCATGGCCAGGATCGCCTGGCCCAGCTCGGCTCCCAGCAGCAGCGGTGGCGGACCTCCAGATGCCTTTCAGACAGAGAAGCCCTGGAAGGCATCTGGAGGTCCCCCCCCCGCGCGCTGCTGCTGGGAGCCTTAGCTCTCAAAGGGCTTCCCCCCCCCGACACTGGAGGAATTCTAACTGTATCATCAGTTTATTAAATGTTATCAAAGAATGCACTCAGCAGAAAACAAGAAAACTCTAATTTGCTTTGCTTTCTTCTATGTACTTGGGGAACTGAAAGATGTTTTCTTCCCTTCAGCACCATCTACTGGAATTATCCCAAAATTATTTTGATGATCATTTTTATTTCCACAGAAGATTATTAATGCTTTCAAAAATACATGCTACAGAAGCACAGGCAACTAGAGAATAAATGGACCCTCCATGTTTAGAGGCAATGTATCCAAGGATATAAAACATTTGGAGAAAAAGGGTCATCATATCAAGTGAGTTTCCAAAGGCATTTCAAAGTCCACTGCTGGAGATAGAATACTGGACTAGATGGATGTTTTAATTCATAAAGTTCTGAATGCCCTTTATACTGTTCGAATTAAGATTCACATTCCATCATTCTGAAAGTGTAACTGCCTGCTTAACCAGTGTTTTGATCATGCAGATCTACTGTATAATGTTTCAGTGCTTGGAAAGGACTACTGCAAGCAAGATTCCCAAAAGACAGTACTTAGTTTGGAATGTACCAGAAGAGGGAGTAGCAAGGGGAAATATGTCTTTTAACTCTGAAGCTGTTGCTGTTGGAGGAAATAAACCTAACAAAGGATTTCAATGGGAAGGGGGCTTCATGGCCTAATATAAATATGCCTTGTCACTAATGCAAAGTCCTTTTTCTCACGCATGAGGCAAACCCCTGCCCCCTCTTCCTGTTTGTTTGCTTCATTGTTTTTGTTTGCCTTCTCTTCTTTTCTGACTTTTTACATGTCTGTTCAGGTTGAAAGTTTTTCTACCTGACCTCGTCCTTGACCATGAGGTCATCATGGTGGATTTCAGATGCACAACTGTACAGTGGTGCATCGCATAGCGAGGTTAATCCGTTCCGGATTAACCTTCGCTATGTGAAAACTTTGTTAAACAGAAAGTAAAAAGTCCAATCGGCTGAAAACTCACCGTTTAGCGAAGTCTTCCCATAGCCGGCAGCCATTTTCGCGCCCTCCCTTCGCTTACCGAGGACGCGAAAACGCTGCACACGGCCATTTCGGCTGTTCCGGCGGCCATTTTGGACCCGCCGAACAGCTGATCCGCGGGTCACAAAGCAAAGGTCAGTAAGCGAAACACTTACCGACCTTCGCTATGCGAGTTTCGCCCATTGGGGCCATTGGTAAGCGATCGCATTAGCAATCGCGGAAACCGCATCGCTATGCTATTTCGTCGTTATACGGTGCGCTCGTTAAGCGAGGCATCACTGTATGTTTTTCTTTTTCTGCTTAAGCTACATGTAGAGTGCTTTTCATAGACAAATGGCCAGTCAATGTGAAAACAGTGAACCCTGTGACTAGAGACACAGCAAACACAGAATGTGTCCACCCAAAAGCTGAAGCTTACTCCTATAATGAGACTACAGCCTTCAAGGCTAGAAGTCCCAGTGTTACCACCCAATTTTAGGTTTCAATTCTCCGGCAGGAAAAACAGATAAAATAGTGCATAAATCAGACTATATGACAGTCAATTGTTATTTTTATTAAACATATAGCTGGACTTCCGTCTTAAAGGCAGATCGGGGGTCCTCATCATACATTGGTAAAGCATTTTATGCAAAGGGCAATAAAGCACAGCATCCCCTTATTGGCCTCCTGAACCCCATGTGTGCCTGCTGGGCCATCCCACTGGCCATGGTAGACGTGAGAAAAAATAACCAAATTGCATCCCAGGGTTAGTGGCTGCCAAGTTTGTGAATGTGTGAACCATTGTGTAGTTTATCTCTAAATATGTTAATGATAGATTGTTCTTCTGGGGTGTTAGTGCATGGTGTTAGGAAGTTACAACCTTGCCTGGAGCACTGTAAATTTGTTATTCTGAGTTGGCCTTGGTTCACACAAAGCTTGGTTCACACAAAGCTGTGTCAGTTTAACAGCGTGTGATAATGTAAGAATGTTTCTGTGCGGGATGGGGGGTCAGGAGTACTATTCACATAAAGTACAGATACAAAAATGCATATAGAATGTCATTATAGCAAGGAAATAGTGAAATCATATTTCAATTACAGGTACAGGGTATGATTACTAGTGTAAGTACATGTGAATCAAATAGCATGTGTTATCTTAAATTGTAAAGCCAGTACTTCGTACAGTATATGTTATATCAGAATCCCCTATCTATCACCAGAAGTTATAAAGAAGTGCCCATAGATGCTAATATAAAGAAAAGCCAAAAGTGGAGGTTACAAAAATGAAACCATAAGGCAGCAAGAATCGACAAAAAAGCCAATAAAATGAAAAACTGAGCTCCATCTCTGCCATAAGATGGACAACAACCCTTAATGAAACTACTGTGGGGAGTTGAACTGGGTAGGAGAGGCAGGAGTCCCATCCAGGGCATGTGTACTGAGAGGTGCTGGGGCAAGGCTTCTGTGGCGATCCCCCTTGCTGCCCCTTTCCTTTGGGCTCCACAAAGGTAAACACGCCTTTTTCCTTCTTTTCGCTGCCATCAGGTATTTCTCCTAATACCACTACAATTCCCACACACAGGAGCTGCTCATATAACTTTGGAATCAAGGGTTCGATCAAATATTCTTTTATTAATGAACAAAAATCATAAGGAGAATCAAATATATAACTCCGTGAGGTGCGCATATATTAGATCATGTATTCAATCACTGGTATTTCTCATGTTATGCTTATGTGTTAATTCCTGTTTGTTCAATATATTTTACTCTTTCAATTTCCTTTCGTAACCCTTCTAGCTATTCCTAAACCCTAGCACTCTCTCCACATCTTCTTGTCCCCAATTCTCCCTATCCCTATCTGATTCCAACTGTCCTTAACTGTCTCTTCCAACTGTCTGTCATTCTGACTCCGCCCCTCCTGCTCTATCCTCTGATTGACATGCAGGAATGACGTCATCTTTTGGGTTCCGCTACAGCTTCCATCACTATATCTCTCAGAATCTAGACTGTTCCAAATTAGTCTCTGCACAGAGATCATGAAGAAAAAAAATATGTCTGGTGCCGTGTAACCACTCCATGTTGGCAGTCTTCATATATAGGTAGACAGTACAAACCACAGCATACATTTTTAAATGGCTGTATTCATGACTATGGAAAGATAGTTCAACCCATTATTTTCTGTAGAAGGCATGTGCACCCTTTACTTCATTGCAATGGAAGATAAGAACGGAGAGTATTTCAATTATCAGAATATGCACATTCTAATACCAAACAGTAGCATCTTACCTGTCAATAAAAAAACCAAAGTGGTCAAAAATTATCTTAAGATATTTTAGAGATAACTATTTATAGCATTACCCCTATCCTTATTTGCACATTACTTCTGGAAGAGTCTCCTCACAGTCAGCATAGAGAAGGCAATATGACTTTGCAAATAAAAGCATTTTGCTATCCTTTCTGTCTATAGATATGTATTAGAGATTCCTGACATAAAAATAGCTTCACTTTTGTATTCTTGTCTGTCTGGTCCCCAAGTCAGTGTCATAAAAAACTGAGACTACAATTGCCCCTCTGTAACTAAAGTAGATCAATCGTTTCCTTGATACATGTGTCATTCTCTTCTAGCCATGTCATTTACCTTCTGATGTCATAATAATAATGTCTGCCAGTCTAAAACCATACTACTAATCATTCATCATACCTGAAACAGAGAATAAGCATTTACAACTATTACAACTAGTTGCTCAGAAATATATTGTAAATAATTAAATCACAAAGCTTTCTGGGAATTCTTAAGAATTCCTTATAACATCTGGACAGAGACCAACATTCCTAGGTCTAGCGTAGTTTAGGGGCGTAGACTATCTGGATGGAGGAAACTTAACTACAAATGCTCCATCTGAACTGGAGGATATTTGGTGACTTTGGGCAAGCTTCTGTCTCACATACAACCTGATAAAATCAGCATCTACCGTGTTCAGTAACAGTAGATTATGTACTGTTAAGCAATAGCTAAATGACTATCACAATGCTATCGTAACTGTCTAGTCGGTTTCCATAGCAGGGTATTACTCCTCCAAAACTGTCACAGCAGTACCAGAATGTGTTAACACTGAGTGTTCTGTTTTCTGATACAGATTTGAAGAGCAATTTCAATATGCCCTAAATGGAGAAAAGAAAATCTGCTGTTTCTTTGCAAGTAACACCAGAACAATAAAGGATTAAAGGATTATTTTTAATAACATATTTAGTCCAATACAGATACAAAAATATAAATATGACATAAAATAAGATGCAAAATATATACTTTTCTATACAGACGTTGGCTATGACATGGACTTACAAAATAGCAGTCTCCCCTTTTTCTTTGCTTGTTTTAGCATTATAAGAAAACACTTCAACACAAATAAGCTTGGATATTAAGTCAGTTCAGGCAAGAGCTGGAATGAAATATTGAAGAGAAAAATCCTCATGGAGCAAGATGAGGCAAATCATCTTTTTGCTTACAATATCTGCAAGAAAAAAAGCCCATATTTTAAAGGGTGGCACAAAGCCTAACATGTCAGGTTTAGAAATGGCAATGTGAGATGCAAGACACACAAACCAATCTGCTCAAGACACTCTGGTCCTGGCACAGCACTACCAACTTCTGTTCTCCACCAGAGGAAAAAAATCAATGAAACTAAAGCTGTTCCTGGGGCAAGTGGGCCAGTGGAAAAACTGAGTTCCCCCTTCTCAAACATGCTGCATTTTAAACTGCTGCCACATGTCCATCTGACACTGCTTGGCAACACACGTGGTCCTTCACATTGAAGTGACTCGCCTGACCCTAAAAATGCTGGCCCAAATAAATTTAAATACAGTGGTGCCTCACAAGACAATTATCGAGGTTTAGGGCCTTGATACTTGACGGAACGCCTACTCCCACCAAGAACTACCTGTATCACTCGATCGAGTCAGGGGGTGAGGCTGAGGAGCCTGATGCCGAAGAAGGCCCGAAAGAAAAAAACAAGAAATCGGGCCTTCTCGGCGGTGGCTCCACGCCTCTGGAACAACCTGCCCCGAGAGATTCGCGAGGCCCCGACGCTGGGTATCTTTAAGACCCATCTAAAAACGTGGATGTTTAAGCAGGCTTTCCCTCCAGATAACACTTAACCTTTTTTCTTTAACTATTTCTGATATATTGCCATCTTGAAGAATCGCTTATTGTTTATGTCTGTTGTTCATTGCTTATTGTATATTGTTGATATTTTTATTTAATATATGTATATGTTGTATTTTTGCATGTTTGGAAGCCACCTAGAGTAGTCATTTTGACCAGATAGGCGGGGTATAAAATAAATAAATAAATAAATAAAATTCATTCCGCGAGAAGCGATGTCTTGCAAAATGTATTCGTCTTGTGAGGCATCGGCTCCAGGAGGGAGGGGGAGAAACGTCTTGCAAAGCATGGTCATAGAAAAAAAGTCTTGCGAGGCACCACAGAGATCGCAAAAACCAATTGTCTGCGGGTTTTTCATCTTGCAAGGCAATCGTCTTGCGAGGCAGCACTGTATTGCTTTTACAGATAGGATTTGCCATTTCTTTCCAAGAGTTCTACTTTATGAGCTCTTTACACACTACCCTATCCAGCAGTCAATGGCTCACTGAAAAAAAGCTAAAAGGAACACTTACTGCACAGCGCTTTCGTTGGATTCACTTGTTGACCTGCAAGCAACTGAAGAAGTCTCTTTATGTCAATGCGTGCCTCCACCATGCTCTCGGTGTCTCTGTCTTGGGTTGAATTTTGAGAACCTTCCTCTGATACTAAAACTGACAAAGACAGTTCTTTCAGCAAATCAATAGTTCTAGTATATATTATATCTATAATACTCTTAAACTAAAATTGGTGCAAATCATTCTCTAGGAAACAAGTTATGATCAGATAGCGTACACAAATATGTTATATTCTTTAGGATCACAATAAATGTGTGCTCCCATTTAATGTCCAGGAATTACAGCTGAAAGGTGGTGACTTAACCCACAATACTAGCAGAATAAACCTCCAGTTCCAATAGCTGGTGTTCCAGTGGAGAGATCCAAAATTCTCAGATGATTTACACAGAAACCTCCCTCTATAGCAGCCCCTAGACTCTTATCTACTTCCTCCTCTTCTCAGCTACTCTACAGTCATAAGCTGCTGAGAAAATTCAGCTGAGAAGCAGTGGCTGCAGTGGCAACAAGAAGACAATTAGATGTTGCCAGCAACCTTCACAGCCCAGAGCTGAATAAGTAACCAAAAGGCATTGGTATGCACAGGGGTTTGTTTGCAGTGTCTTGTAGAAACTGATCCTACTAATCACATGTTCGTAGAAAGAAAAATCGTCCTTGGATGCTATCCCAAAATGATATATGCAGAACATTCAAGTAATAAGCAGCATCAATAGGAAGCCACACTTTTGTTCATTACTTTCACAATGGGGAGAGCTATTATCTTCTGGAAGACCCCCACCTTCTTTGCAGCCTTGGAGTTGCAGTGAGTCTATCGGGCTGGGGATTTATCCCCTCAGGCACTTCAAAAGAACTCAGTAAAGCAGCACAAGAGAGATGAGCCCCTTCCCATTTCCCAAGACCGGAATAAGAACTTGTGGCCAGCTTTACACTGTGCTCCAAGTATCTCAGAAAGACAACAGCATGTATTGCTGTTGTGATTCTAAGGCAGTCAGAGCTGGGGCATGTTTTGAAGTCCCTCTGCTTAACATCCCAGCCTTGTTATCCATCTTAAGAGCTGCAGAGGAGCCTCTTAAAAAGGCCTCCGAGGTTCTCCCAAATGCATGGCAAGTACAGGGGTGATTACTATCCTTCCACGGTGTCCAAGGGTAGACAAAGACTGGAAGTAATCCACAATCTAACGATGTGCTGTAATGAAGTGTGAGGCCAGGAACCTTCCTTGGAGTAGTAAAATCATGGTGGTCCAAATTTCTGGTTGACTACCAACTGTAAATCCCTTGTACGCATGGCAAAATTATAGGGCTGCTCCACCCCTGTTCCATCATAACATCCCTTCCCTTCCCTTTCTTTTCTGCAACATTTCTCTCATGAAATTCCTAGCAACAAGCTATATATCACTTTTCCTATTCTTTTATTGGAAGTTATAATGACAGTTCTTCCATCTATGGTTCTGGGAGAGAAAGAAAAACTATTAAATGCATACTTGACCTAACTTTCTTTCAAAACTATTATTAAAACCTCTAGGACAAAATCCTATTAGTTGCCATTATTTCATTTGTATTTGTTTAAAGGGCAGTACCTATGCACAGAACTCAGAGGTTCTACTCTGATCAGTTAAACTTTCCCATTTACTCAGGTCAGTGAGGAGAGGACTGTAGCCTTAATATTATACTACTACTCCCTTTGCATATATCATGAGAGAACTAAAAATGCTTACCCCATGGAGGATTCCCAAGCTCTTTAAAGTGAGTCGTAACACACACTAACTCCGTTTCTATTTTCAAGTTCATTTCTCCATTTTTATTTGCTTCTATTACCTATAACAAATGCAAATTAGACACTTGATTTCTGAACTCCTAAAGGTATTCAGCAATTCAAATCTGTCAGAGGAGAATATCAACAGGCATAAAAGTTAGAAGTCTGTCTCTGAAAAAATGTCTAGAGACAGAACTATAGATATATAAAGACAGATGCAGTAGAACAGATAATACAATTAATCATTTGGGCCACAAGGTACAATAAATGGGAATAAATCCTTTAAAAATTATTCATCAGGAGAGCCTACAGTATATGGACAAATGGAACAGAGTTTCAGGAAAAACAAATCAGCTTGACCTTTTCAGAGAAAACTGATTAGCACACATTAATTAGGAAGTGAAGCTTAGACATAAGTATGATCACTGAATAAGCCCTATTAAAGGGACAGGAGCTGAGAAAGTTCTTGGCAGCTTTAACTCTGCTGCATGCAGACTAATCTGCATCACTGAAATATGTATTTTAAGGAAAAAGGAAGACAGAACTGGGGTTCAAACTGGACAGGCTGGAACACAACCAAAACCTACACACTGAGATTCAATTGAGAAAAATATAACACAGAGCAATAATAACAAAGTTTAAGAAGAGGGAGAACTGATTTGACAGTAGAACATGTAAAAAGGAACAAGGTGCCTAGGATGCAATCCTAATATGAGCCCATAACTGCTACAAAAGCTATGGAGTGTTTGGCTATATTAACAGAAGAAGAGTGTTTTTAAGTCATGGAAAATAGTTCTGTTTAACAATCAAAGGGGCTGCCTCATGAGACAGTAGGATGTTCTTTGTTAGAGATACATAAACAGAGGCTGGATCATTATCTCTCAGGGACCACGTAATTGCATCCTGCACTGAAGAAGAGAGGTGGACTAGATGACCTTCAAGATATCTTCCAGCTCTATGATTCTGAACTGTATGGAATGACTTTTTAAAAATTAAATAATGGAAATTTTATCTACTTTAGCCCAGAGATACAGAATAAGCAAGCAAAAACTAACCCCAAGAGATACAGATAATTTTTTGCCCATCCGTAAAACTAAATTATGGGTATAGCAACTTACTATAGAATTGCTGAGGTTTTTCATTCTCTCCACAACACTCTTCATGGTCTTCATTACAGGTAAAAAAATGCTGACCTAAAAACACAGGATTGGCTGCACTGAAAAATGTGTCTATGAATCATATCTTCCTAACATCTCTCAGGCTTTTTCTTCTGGCACCCCTTTTAAAGCATAGAAAAGCAAATTCAAGCTCTTGGAAGCCTTCAGGAATAGTGATTCACCTTTTAAATATGTCACAGGGTTTTCCTGCACCAACACCTTCAAATGCATTTTTTTCCAGAACGGGAAATAGATGTTTAGGCACTGCTTCTTTCATTTACCGCATTTTTGGTGATCTGTACGCCCCCTGGAATGTCCTGGGCAGTATTTGGCCTATAAGCTCACCACTGTTGCCCAAAGGAGTATTCTGTTCCATTATTGTGTTGCCCTTGCAGATAACTGGACTGCAGGCCATTAAAGCTTATGCCAAATAAAATTTGTTAGTCTTTAAGGTGCCTAAAGACTCCTTGCAGGTTTTTGCTGTAACTGCCTATTACGCCTAGTCCACTGAGAAATCCATGTAGAGTAGAACCTTCTGTTCATGAAAGCAAGTTGTTTTTTTTCATACTGCAGTTTTATCTACAGTATATATTTTTAAAAATTAAGGTATTCATCTTAGTGACAGATATAATTTCTCATAATAAATATAACTTCCACAGGTTTAGTCCTGTTATATAAGAAAATTGCTGGAACCAAAATAGGCCAAGTTCAAATTTAGTTTATTAATAGCTCCATGTATCCATATGGAGTTCAAAAGATTTACAGTGGTGCCCCGCATAGCGATGATAATTTGTTCCGGATAAATCGTCGATATCCGGATTCGCCGCTATGCGGGGGGGGGGGACCCATAGGAACGCATTAAACTCCGTTTAATGTGTTCCTATAGGGGAAAAACTCACTGCTATGCGGGGAATCCTCCATCCGGCTGCCATTTTCGCTGCCCGATAAGCGAGGGCAGGGTGCGAAAACACTGCGGGCGGCCATTTTCTGTACCCGGCGGCCATTTTGGAACCGCCGATCAGCTGTTTTCTAAACATCGCAATGCGAAGATCGGTAAGCGAAACACTTACCGACCATCGCAATGCGATGTTTTGCCACCTAAAACATCGCAATGCGATCGCATTAGCGATCGCAAAAAACGCGTCGCTATGCGGATTCGTGAAACGGTGCGCTCGTTAAGTGAGGCACCACTGTACCTTTGATTTAGTAATGGGTAAATAAATTCCAACAGATGGCAATATGCTAATTTTAAAAGACCAATACAGTGAATGAAGTGTTTGACTATATTAAAATAACCTGCTCAGAAATTTATTTTGGGAAATATGGGAAGTAGAATGCAAAAACAAAGCAATGGCAGCAGAAAAAATGTGTGAGTGATAAGCAACTTAAATTCTCAGCATGCAAACCCTTCACAGTAACTAACATTGTACATAATAACAATAATCTTAAGTAGAAAAACTATCTTTACTTACAGTTATGATCTTTAAATACAGTCAAAAATATAAACGGGAGGGGGGAACTGCAGTGGGAGACTCAGTCCACCATGCAGCTACATGGTTGGAGGTCATGAACAGAGAATTACTTATCAGCTTTGGTTGGAAATCAGAGAAGAAAAGAGAGCAAACAAACAGAAGCAAAGCAAACAAGGAGAGAGGAGAAGCAAGCTTTAGGCAAGAAAAAGAGCTTTGCTAATTGGTTAATGGCAGATAGTCACCTTAGTTTGTGAAAGCTCCCTCCTCCCACTGAAACCCAGAGTTAGGTTGCATGCAAGAATGTTATTTTCTCCAACAGAATCAGTGATGTTGAACAGCCCTAATGTAATAAACTCAATATAGTTAAAAGCATTATACATTTTGTATAACATATTTGCAGTATGTTGATAAAATGAATAGAGTAATTTCTAAATATGTATTTTATTGAATATTAACTAATAAAAGACATCTCTGTCCAGAATCCTATTGCAGATTTATATCTGCATAAGAGAAACCACAAAAGTTTTGACAGCAAATTACTGCTCAATAATGAGGTGCCTGCTGCATCTCTGGGTGTATGTGTGACTAATGAGAAGCAATTTGCAGGAAAATATATGCAATGTCTCTTATGAAAATATAAACTGACAATTGGATTCTGCCCTTTGTCTTGCTTATTGTTAGGACAAAGGTATGGTTGTGCTTAGAAAAAGGAGATAGCAAATTGAACTACTGAAAATGTAGATACGACAAGGGAGTGAATAGTAGTTGGTTTTTAAATATAACTTTAAAAATGTAAAAAATAGGAAGTTATCTCATCAGGCTTCTGAATACTATAAATGGGCATGTGTAGGTGACACATTGACTAAACTACTAAAAAAATCAAATAACCAGCAGGCTTTTCTGGATCAAGTCCATTTCTTCAAGCCATGCACTGATATGCTGTGGATAATGCAGAAAAATTATAAATGAGAGACCTAGTCAAACAGAAGCATTGATGTTTCAAAAGAAAGCTATATGCGGGTGACGGGGGGGGGGCATGAAAACTACCCGGGAATTCTTTGTTTGAGTAGTTTGGGAGTGACATCCAACCAACAGCTGTCTAGGGTGTAGTTTGAAAAACACACCTCCAATGCAGCCTGTTTTTTTTGCTGTTTTTAAAAAAACTTACCTCTAAGAAGCACAACCACCCACCACAATTTTTGGGACTCTCATTTATAATTTTCTGCATTATATCAGTACATGGTCTGGAAAAGTGGACTTGACCCACAAAAGCTTGCTGATTGTTTAATTTTTTAATAAAGGTATCACCTACTCCTGCATTTGCATTGTGTAAAGACGTAACACCCACATGGCTTTCTTTGTTTCTGGACGTTGCTGCTGTTGTTGTTTTTTATTTTTGGAGGGAGACTATAAATGGGCAGATGTGCACAAGGTAAAATATAGTAAATGAAGAACAAATCTGCAAATTTGCACTGCAGTTTTCAAAATCCAAAGTGTAAAAACAATCATGTTGTTCTAACAACCATCATTGTTACAAAAATGGTAAATTAATAAGGGTAACTCTAAAGTCACCATCACTATTATTATAAAAACAAGAAAAAAAGTTGCAGGTGAAACCTACAGTACAAGCTAGATTGTAATATAAGCATAGAGTACTATTTGCTTCTGTTGCCCAAAGACATTTAACCTAAAACAACTTAAAGCATTTTAATCTTGTCAAATTTAAAAGTGACTTACATCAAACTCTGGCACATTAGGCTCTATGAAGTCATTCCAAAGCTTTCTTGGGATAACACCTACAGGAATGTCATGAGTTACAATGCGACTACTGCTAGATAAAGAAGGCTAGAGGTGAAGAAAGAGTACATAAACATATATGAGAGAAATATAAGATTAACACTGCAACTCTATATGCATTTACCTTGGCATGAGGCCAGTAATACTTGCTTCTAGTTAGGTATATGTAGGGCTGCCTTGTAAGAACGAAAAAAACCCTGATTTTCAGTGTAATAACAGTGCTTGTACATGCAGATCATCCCAATGTATATGTCATGTACAAAAAACTGTTGTTTCAGCCCCTTATGCCACTATTTTTGTCTAGATGTTCTGACCTTCCTTTATCACTGACTCCAGTTTGTCAAGGCACCATTCAAGATTCCAGGAGCTAAACCTTATGTTACTCCCAATTAGAACAGACTCACTTAAATAAGTGAGACTTATGAGACTTTTAAGTGGCATAGTGCTAAATTGTTTTGCCATTCAATTAATTCAGTGCTGGATTACAAGGGACCTAAAAAACCCCTGAAAACCTCTTGTCTTCTCCTCCATGAGGGAATGGGAGAACTTTAAATTTGTTGATAAGTGGGATCCTTTCAACATGCATGAATGTTAGATTGAAAGCGAAATGAAAGGAAAACAATTCACTTTAGTTCAGTTCTAGTGATCATACATGCTGGCATTGTGTGGAGTGATCCTAAGCACACTTTTTTAAAAAAAGGAAATAGTGAACAAGCTTTATTGCTTAAAACCACAAGTCATCACAATAGATCAGGACAACATAAAAGATACAAGGCACTGACATCACATGTTCACATATAAATACAATCAGGATTATATGTGTGTATAAAGTAACACAGTCCTTCCTTAAGAATTTCAATATGTGGTATGCATCTTCTTTGACCAAACTCTGGGATGCAGTGGAAGACAGGAGGGCCTGGCATACTCTGGTCCATGGGGTCACAAAAGAGTCAGACACGACTTAATGACTAAACAACAACATGCACCTTCTTTGCTGCCAAAGCACATTTTGTAATTTAATAAGTAGCGGTTACATCACCACCCATAAGCAGGATACATGATTGAGACAAGGGTGGTGTATCGTATAGATCCAAGAATACCAGCAAGAAATTGGCCTCTAGGATGTCCATATGAAGGGCAACTTAATAAAAAATGAAAAACGTCTTTGATCTATCCCGATTCACAAATACAGAATCTCTGGTGAAATGGGACATTATATCTCCCCACCAAAATGGCTGACAGCATATACTGAGTACAGAGCCATTAATGATTTTCTTAAAGGGGATGCAATTAGATTGATAGAATATTTCTCTAAACCAAATGATGTTTTGTATACCAAGGAGAATAGGACAACAGTGAGATGGCACTCCAGCCACTTAAGAGTAAAAACAGATTTTCTTAACTGACTAGCTGCTTAACCCAATAGAGACAAGGATGGGCAATGACTCTATAGCAATCCTATAGCTCTGTAAAATGGGTCTAGCTGGGTTTACCCAGGATTCTTGGGATGGATGCACTGTTTGGGAAGGTGAGAATTGTTCATACAGGCCAATTTCAGAGAGTGCACAGCAAGTACAATGTTCTTCTGCTGGTGCTTTAAAAAGAATTATCTCTGGGATACTCTGGGGAAAGCAAATATGAAGAGATTGGTGGAAATCCCTTTGCAAGTAACTAGTTAGGAGAATGTAAAAAGTATGTGCTTGAAAATAATGTTAGTGGTAGAATGGCTGGGTAAGGACATACTTCCACCAAATGAGACCAAAGAGTCATCATCATGGTTGTTGTGGGTTTTTTGGGCTCTTTGGCCGTGTTCTGAAGAACACGGCCAAAGAGCTCAAAAAACCCACAACAACCATTAGATTCCGACCGTGAAAGCCTTCGCGAATACAGTCATCATCATCATCTTTATAGGCATAAAACATACAGCAAACAGCAGTCCTCAGATAGATAGGGGATATATACCCCGTATGAAACAGATCAAAAAGCCTCAATGCAAGCAAAATATAGCAGTACATAGTTTAGTTTCAAGGTAACACCTAGCCATTGTCCCTAACCTGTAACCTATACAGAAAGGAATAATTGTATCACCTATAGAGAGGTGGGTTTGTTAAAAACTGAGTTCTACCATATTTTCCTGAAAATAAGACAGGGTCTTATATTAATTTTTGCTCCATAAATGCATTAGGGCTTATTTTCAGAGAATGTTTTAATTTGTTTTCATGTATAACAATCTACATTTATTCAAATACAGTCATGCCATCTTCTTCTGGTTGCTGCACAATGGTGGAGGGTGGGGTTTCACTTAAATGGGGCTTACTTTTTGGGGTAAAGGGCTTATATTACGAGCATCCTGAAAAATTGTACTACGGCTTATTTTCAGGTTAGGTCTTATTTTTTGGCAGACAGGGTATGCCGCTGCATTAATAAACTAATAAATTTGGCCATCTGTCTGGTGTAGGTTTTATTCATGCCTAACAGAAGGTGTGTACAAGACTGTCTCCTCCACCCATCCAGTAAAACTAACAAGGACAGATTCCAGGTTTGAAAAGCGGATGTCACTGAACATTCCACATTAGAAAAGTATTATCCCCTTTTCACACAGGTTCTTCATTCAGATGAACACTCTAAGAATTCAGCTCTATGGTGTTTGTCACATGTTGTTCTGGAAAGCACCTTAAAGATCATTCCGCTTACAGAACCCATAAAATTCTAGGTAACATGGAACTAGCTGAGAAGCACACATTTGAACTGTGATGCAAAGCTTCCATCTTAGAAACAGACCGTTTAGGCTTAAGTCATTTTCTAACAACTGTTACCAAGATCACAAAGGCAAGACAAAGGCTGAAAAATTTGTACAAACAGTGCTTTATGGACTGGATAGTACATCCCACTCTACCCAACTTGTCCTAGAAAATGGTTCAGTAAATATAGAGACCCATTCTCAAAGATGAGATATTTAGGAATGCCAGGAGAGGGAAAAGTGGGCTTCATTTTACTGTAAATGTTCCAGATGTTGTACTGGGCAGCAAAACAACTTTAGAGAAATAGTTTATTATCACCTAAAAATGGGTATTTTCCACTAAAACAGAACAGAACTTTCTGACAAGATTGACTTGAGAGGATCAAAGAACTAAGTGATTCTAGTAGACTGGTTGTGTGCCAGCTCATCTTAAAAATTTTCACTTGCTGTTGGAACTCAGTTTAAATCTAATTAAGCTGTTGGACATAAAAGTTTTACATTTAGAAAAGATTTAGAAGCTGTTACTTATCCTACTTAGGATATATTTCTACTCACCAGTTCCACAGCTACAGTGAGGCAGGGACATTGTTTATTAGTCAACTTGATTTTCACAGCCTTGGCATTCTGTGCCGTTTTTAAAGCTCTAGAAAGGTTTTCAGGTGTTACCTCAAGGTAAATTTCATTGTTTTCTGCAGCTACTCCTTCCATCTGAAACTCATCAAAGAAGTTTTCCTGAAATAACAAAAAAGAAGCTAACCTTTGTAGTCCATGAGCAAAATGAAAGAGAAAAGTTAGGTAATATCTTTATGAGGCCACCAAAATATTTTTTAAAAAGAAAGGGAGACAATTATGCTTAAAAGTCTTTCAGAATTCTGCCTTGGACTTAACACTGCAAAATGTGGGAGAGCAGGAATAGGGAACAGCAGAATTCTCTCTTTTCCTACTTGTTCTCACCTGCTTCAGTTCACACCACATGCTGACACCTCCATTTGCCACTTTGTCACTGAGTATGAAATAAAGTTTGTCAACTGTGAGGCGCAGAGTACAGGTCTTGGCTAGTTTGGCAACTGTGTTTATCACACCTGCAGAGACAGAATTTTACATTGGTACCTCCTACAGTACTATCTCAGAAAAAAAGTAAACTTTTATGTACAGTCAAACAGATTGAAACAACAACAACCCAGAATTCGATTATCAAATGTTTATGTATCCACTGGTAAAGCCAGGAACATTTTGTTTGAAGAGCAAGTAGTATGAAATTGTTGTTGTTAAGTCGTGTCCAACTATTCCTGACCTCATGGACCAGAGCACGCCAGGCCATCGTGTCTTCCACTGCCTCCTAGAGTTTGGTGAAATTCATGTTGGTATGAAATTACCCCACTAACAGTGCTATGGACATTCCCACTTTCTCTCTGTTAATACTGTATTAGTTTGGGGCAAATTCACCACCACCACTGTGGAACAGTTGTTATTCATTTAATGCTAAGAGACCCTCCTCCTGCACACTCAGCCTGGAGAGGAGACCCATATAACTCATTTGCCTTTTGCAAGAACCAGAAACGTCCCTCAAGGACCAGATTCAGTCCACACGGGCAGGCTCCTGAGGTGGCAGAGCGGACAATTGCCATCCCGTGAGACGGGGCGTGGCGGGCGAGGAAGAGCCCGCCATCTGTGAAGGCTCTTCCCATGGACAAGGCAAACCAAGGAAAAGCGGCCACCTGCCTTTCACAAAACACTCTTGCCTTTCCCGGGGAGCCAGAACGAGTGCCTTCTCTGCTCCTCTTCAGGCGTTGCCCGCCTGCCCGCCCCCCAAAGTAGCGATTCAACCAGAAAGCCTTCCCTTCCCTCCACCGGGAGCAACGAGGACTGCCGGTCTTTTAAGTGTTTGCAGACCCCCCGAGGCTGCCGCTAAGGTGGGGGACGTTAACGGCCTGCTGTACACCATTTGCTCCCCGTCCCGCCCCCTCTGGAGTCTCTCCCAGACTCACGAGTGAACTGGTTGAGGCACCCGATATCCACGATCTTGGCTCTGAACCGCATGACGGACGTTGCTCCGGCGCCAAAAACCACGGCGCCCGCTCGCCCTCGCTCGCTCCAAAAGATCCCTCGACCCGAGAGGCAGGAAACGGAGAAGAGTTGCCCCCCCCCCGTCCCCTCAAGCCTGGTGTCCCTTCCAGAATCGATGGGAACGCCTCCCTGTGCGAGTCCGGCGCATTCCTCAAAAGGAGGCGTCCCGCTTCAGCGCGGCCTCGGAGCCCAGCACTCCAACCGCCTGTTCGCTCCACAGTAAAGGCCCTCAGCAGCCACGCAACCGACTCGTCTTTGCAGCTCTTCCTTGAAGTTACTGTATCTAGAAACGACGGCGATCCTGACCAATCGCGCTGCTCGCAGGGAGCTCTCCAACCCCCCCTTCACTATGACGTAACAGCGATGGGCGGGGTGTCTCAGGTCGGCTTGTTGCAGATCCCGGGAAGTTGCCGTTTAGCGGCAGCGCCGCGAGGGGTCGCAGTGCGGAAGTCGGAGGGAGGTTAGATTCGCTTGCCTGCTGGAGGAAGAAAATTTTATTTAGGCTGCATCAGCGGTTCTTAACCCACGAACCCTGTTTAAATATGTTTTGTTGCCATGATCCACAAAGACTTAACTCAAGATGTAACACCCTACAGTGCGTCAGATATTTATTTAACCATTCTCATGAAGGGTCTTCCAGTTTGGAGAGAAGTTAATTTGTTAGCACACATACTATTATAATATTTTTTTGAATGATTCCATATAAATTTTATTATTATCTTAATCTGTTAGCACATATACTATTATAATATTTTTTGGAATGATTCCATATAAATTTTATTATTATCATTATTATCGTTGTTGTTAAATACCAGCCACAGTCAAAATTATAGAAACATTGATGTATTATATAACAGATACAAGTTTTAACCTGCTTGCTGCCAACAGCAGAAACACGTTTTCACCATCCCAAAGAATCACTCTGCCACCATTCTGGTTTTCCTGTGTGATTCATTATAGGGGCTGATGCATCCAGGGAGGTCCTCGGGGTACAGTGTCTGCAGGAATGGCCGGAGAGGATAGCCCCAATCAGCTGGAGTGGGGGAAACAGGGCCATCAGCATCTGTATGAATCCTCCCGGTTCCTTCCCATTTGCCACGCACTAAACTTACCCAGCCACCAGCCTCGGCTGGCAGGCCACCTCTCCAGCAAAGGAAGCAGACTGGATGCCTCCAGCACCTGTGCATCATGAACCGATCCAGGCATAGTGCCATTCACATAGGTGAAAGTTCCCTGGGCATTACCAGAGGCTATCATATTAATGGCATTTACGAGGGATTTCTCACTTCCCCTTTCACCTTTTTACAGCCAGGACACTCCCTCAGCAGGCATTTCCCAGTATACCTTCCAAGGTGGCAGCAGGCGGGGCTGGACTCCCCAAACCCCCTCCACCGATGGGCACCAAATGCTTTTCCCTTCAGGAAGAGTCTCCCGAAAGGGGCTAGAACCAGGGATCTGCTGGAGAAGCGTCGCGAAACCCATCAGTCAAAAAGACTGCGTACAGCCAGAGGGCTTATCAAGCGCATCACCACACTGTCTTCAGAGAGACCCTTGCCTCCCTG